TGTTCATTTGCATCTCGTCATTTATTTCATACTGATTAACAATAAATTGGATTTCCACTGTTCTTGCACAATTTTCTTTTCACAAAAATTAAGGAAATGACGCGTATTTTTTATTGCCACGGGCTCTGATATGACTAGTCGAACCTCCGGTCGTCTCTTTCATAATCTTATATGAATTCGAACGAGATCGCTGCATCGATTCTATTTTAATGTTTACTGTGGTATCTCAATCAGTATTATTTCATTGTCCATTGTGGATGTGTATATAAGATACGCACGAATATACTGCAAGATTGGTTCACTGTCTAGGTGTCGCAATCCTCCAGCATGTATATCACCAATGTCCTCTGAGCTATATTTCTATGGCAATTTTGTACCCAGATAATAGTTACGGGATGTACGTTCTGACCCAATTCGAAATAAGCACATCTTATTTCGATGGCATCACATAAACAATGTCGCTTATTGGTGTGATATTTAGACAAGGTGCCTATTCCGAATTGGGTCAGATTGTGATTTGGGGTAGAACACGTACATATACTTCTCTAATTTCTGACGTACAGATATACGAGTGCGCATGTCGAAGGAATACGGTAATTATAATTGATGAAGAATGACCAGTAGAGCAATCAGTATCCACTATACGAGGGAAGCTAAAACCACGCGCCTGTTTGCGTTTTAGCTGTAATTGGCATTGATCATGTCTTCACTTTGACCTCTTGTTTAATTTTTGCTCAAGTGCATAAAATCCTATCGGGTGTGTAAATTTCATAAACAGTGACCGTCAGAAGTAATTATTTCAGTAGGTTCATGTGAGTATGCAGTCGCACAACTTTCTTAACAAATTAAATTATTAAGTTTAACGGCCAAATAATTATTTGTTTCAATAATTTAATGTTGTAGTGTCGTCAAAGACTATCGTCATAGTTTATATTTTTGAGTAGAAGTTTGATTAAATTCTAACGTAAGGTAATTGGACAAAATGGTTATAATAACATACGGTGAGAATATAAAGCATTTAAGTATGTGGCTGTACATCTTTGACCTTTTCTGTGGGCATGCGATAAACCGTATAATATAAACACCATGATAAAGTTGAATGTCTCTATCATCATACGCATAGTCATCACATAATGTTTACGCCTTCAGTATTGTACAATTGATACCAAGGTGACGTAAGTCGTAAACTAGCGTTCAAATTGGTATGCCAAATAAGCTCATTCTCTAATAGACCCACTCGATCCGGTCCCACTTCAAAATGCGCGTAAAGTGTTGTAGGTTTGGAGTATAACGCTTCACAAGACACAGTGTTATTGGAAATATTACAATTCGAATGAATGAAACAAATTGGACACGAAAAGCGTTACAGTGTTATAATTCTAGTCGGTGCCAATTGAACGTTCAGAATAGCAATACTCATATTTGTCAGATTATATGCGAAAACCAAAAACTGCCTGCGTTCTCCATTTTACGCTGGGCCGACGAGAGATCCAATTAATTTGATGTTCACCATATGAGTATCATCATTGCCAAAAATGTATTGTGCAAATTAAAAATTAAGGTTGTACAACTTGTGAAACATTAGAGTAATCAATAATAATAGTTTCGCTTTACCAACCACTAAACTTCTCTTTACTTAATTGACCTTTCCTACAATGGGAGGAGCAACAACGGAATTGAAAGTTCGCCGAGATGATCTTGGAGAAACGCAGACAAGAAAGATCATCGTGTCAACACATATCAGATGGGAAGAATTAGAAGAAAAGGTATATTTGCAAGAAGTAATTGATATCGTTATGCAATATATGTGTACCTTAACTATTTACCTTTATCAACGCAGCTTCGTAGCCGATTCGATATAGGTAAAACAGATAAGATGGTTTTGAGCTATATCGATGAGGAGGAAGAAACAATCACGGTCTCGTCGGATGAGGAAGTTGCTGACGCATTAAGAAATAAATCTCAATTGTGCTTCAACTTGATGACCAAGAAAACGAACAAAGGATATAATTATTCAGAGGTAATTGATAGTCAATTATTATTTTCACTTGCGGACTTTTTCCCAGCCGTTTGTCAAATAATATTGTTTTGTCTGGAAT